CGCCGGGTGCCCGGGCTGGTGTCGGGCGTGCTGTCGTCCGCCGACAGCGAGCCGTGGCGGCCCACGGAATGCTTGAGCTGGCTCACCTTGGCCTGGCTGTCCTGGGCGAAGCCCTTGAGCAGCGACATGGAGCGCGAGAGGAGCGGGGAGCCGAACGGGGAGGACTCGGCGGAGGACCCCGTGTCGCTCTCCCCGCCGCTGAAGTAGCGGCCGGGGCTCATGAGGGCCCCGCCGGCCTCCCGGGGGGCGCCGTCAGCCCCATTGGCCTTGGCGCCTGCCTGGCGGCGCCCGGCCCCCGGAGAGCCCACCTGGGACAGGGCCCCGTGCTCGCTGTGGAACAGGGACTCCTTGCGCCGCGTGTGCGGGCTCTCGGCCAGCGTGGCGAAGCCGTAGGACGTCTGCGCCTTGGGCACCGAGGGCAGGGCCGCGGCGCCCGCCGCCAGGGCGTCGCTGGCCGCGGCCTCCTCCTCCGGCCAGTCCTCGGCGCTCTCGATCTGGATCACGTGCCGGGTGGCGGCCTTCAGCAGGCTCTTACTCTCCGCCGCCAGCTTGGCGGGCAGCCGCGGGCTCCAGGGCGCCCGGCGGGGGGTGGCAGGGCCCGGGCTCGCCTCCTGCTCTGCCGCGGTCGGCCCCCCCTCAGCCTGCCCCTCCGTCTCTGGGGGTCCCACGGGCAGCTTGGGGGGGATGAAGAAGTCGGGGATCTTGTCAGGCGTGAGCACGTTGCTGTACAGGGGCCCCTTGGAGGCCTTGTCTCCCCCCTCGCCCCCCGACGCGCTGTTTTCCCCCGACACCCGGAGCCGTTCCAAGAACCACATGTTGGTTTTCTTCATGGGGGCGGTAGGAGGTGGCCAGGGGGTCTCTGCGGCGTCTGAGAAGAGAAGAGGGGTCGGCAGCTGCGGGCCCTCGCGTTCCTGGGGGGTGGGGGAGGGAAGAGAAGGTCCTCACACCTGTTTATGGAAGTTGCCTGGACAGAAGGCCGGCAGGGTCACCCTGTGGCTCCAGGTGGGGTTGGGGTGGGCTTAGCCCCCCAGGGCTGTCCTCAACTTCCCTGCAGGAAAGCCTGGGGAGGTGGGGGCCATCCTAACTCTTGGGGGGGCCCCAGCGAACAGTGGCCCCTCTGGCCCCCATCCCCATTTTGAGGATCTCAAAGCTCTTTCTAAATTAGGCTTCTACATTAGTCCGGAGGGGAGACACGGGGGGCGGGTGGACCCCCTTCCCAGAGCCCTAGTCCTACCCTCCCCTAGCTCCCACCCACCTGTGGCTTCTCCCTAGGCAGAGGGTTCAGGCATTCGCGGCTGGGCAAGGGAAGGAAGGGGAGCGTGGGGGCCGGCGGGGCAGCGAGCTGACCCCTCCCCCTTCTGTTCCCCATCCCCCCCAGTTCAGCTTGGGGTGAAGACGGGGTCTCGGTGGCCCTCGCAGAACATGGCAAGGTGCCAGAACTCACCTGCCCGAGGCTGGTGCGGCGTCGGCAGTGGGCGGGGGTGGGCTGTCCCGTGGACACGGACACGCGAGGTCTCGGCACCTGGACGCGGCCGGAGCTGCCACTCGGCGCAGCGCAGTCGGACTCATTCACCGGCGGCGGCGGGAAACCGCCCAGCCCCGCGCCGCCGTAATCCTCCTAGTACTGCCGCGGCGGCCCTGCGCCCCGCCCCCGCCGCGGCGAGACCAGCTCCCCGCGATGCTTGCAGGGTGGCGCCCCGTAGTCTCTCGGGACCCAGGGCCCTGACGGGGAGGTGGGCGAGAAGCAGGGGCTGTGCAGCTTGCGGACCACCTCTGTCATTTAAGTCTGAGGGTCCCGGGAGTCGTGGGCCCCTGGAAACCCCCAAATCTCTGCCCCAGTTCCCCTGCGAAGAGGCGCAGATCCATTTCGCCGGTGAGCAACCTTCACAGCTAACGAGGATGACGAAAACAGCAGCAGTAATAACAGCCACAACTGAATTTATTGAGTCTTTAAGGACGCTTGAGGTCCGCCCCAAGTCTGACCCCACAGCCACCAGAGGGCAGGTCCCAGGGCTGCGCCCAGACGGCAGACCAGGGCTTCCTCCTGGACGCCCGCTGAGGTGGTTGCTGGTTCAGGGCACCCGCTTGGCCAGGCCAGGAGGGGCCCCTGGAGCACCTCCTGGGTGGGGACACTGATGGAGGCGCTGGGGTGCGGCTGCCGCAGGGATGCGGGCCCCGGCTTTGTGGCCACCCTGCGGGAGGGGTGCCAGGGAGAGCACACCGCAGGCTGGGGCCCCCCGACAAACTACAGCACGTGATGGGGGAGAAGGTGCCAGCCTGCGCCTCACAGTTCAACAGGGGGAGCAAGACCAGGCCTACGACAGCTCCTAAGACCACAGGATGCTCCCCGGCATCCTCCCGCCCCCACTCCCTGCCCACCTACCCAGCCTCAGTGTGCCCCTTTTGGGACCCTGAATCAATCCCAGTGTGGGAGGTGCTAAGAGCCCCCACACTCAGGGCTGGCCGGGTGGGGCCCTCGCTGCACTTGTGGTAACTGTCCAGGTAATTGTCCAGCACGCGTCCTGCGTTCTGCGACTACCCCGGGCCTGGCCTGGCCCGACCAGGACGGGGCTGCTCTGGGGTGACCTCTGGTCAGCAGCAGAGAGAGGGAGGGGGTGCGGGCCACGCGGTCTCCCCAGCCCGGCCTTCCTCTCGAACTTGGAAGGAGTGGTTGAGCCCCACGGTCCAGTTGTGAAAGCCCAGTACAGAGGCGGCCACGACCTCCCGGCTCTGCTCAGCCACGAGCTCCCGCCCCTCTGTCCTGGGCAGCTCGGCGTGAGCACAGGGGCGCGTGCCCAAGAGCATGCCACTCGCCGCCCGGCCCTGCATGACCTGAGAGCCCCCTCTCCACCTCAGTCACCGTAAAGAACACCCCAACTGCCACTTGCTCATGCCCGGAGGAAAGGTGAGGCCATCTTGCCCTGCCCTGCCCCAGACGTGGGGGGCCCCACTGCACTCTTGCCAAGCGCGGGCGGGGGCGTCATTCAGGGAAGACGAGTGGGGAAGGCGCTGAGGGCCCCGAGTCGCCTCCCTCCACTGCAGGACAGGACAGTGGACGGGGAGTGACCGGCTGAGCTGAGAGGCGGGCAGTGTCGGCAGGCCGGGCTGGGGGGGCTCACTTCTGCGCACCCTGCCCAGAGGCAGAGGGCCTGGGAGGCGGCGCTGTCCTCAGTCCCTGCGCTAAGGAAATCAGGACACTGAGCTGAGTCGCCGCCTGGGCGGGAGCCCTAACGCCAGTCCTTCCTGCGCGCCTCCTGCGTGTCTCCTGGCCGTGGCCATCAAACCGTCCCCGCATCAAGGCAGAGTGAGGATGCAACAGGTTGCACGTGAAGAGCACACGTGTGTCCTCTGCTGCTGGTGGGGAGCGGGACTGCGTGGGGCGGGGCTTGCCAGGCTTTGAAGCAAACCCCAGAGCCCCCAGACCCCGCCCACCGCCCAGCTGAGCCCTGCCCGGACCGCCTCCCCATCACATCTGGGGGCTGGAGAAACTGCGGCCCAGAGAGGAGGCCAGTGGGCAGGGGTGCCGAACAGGCCCGGGGGCTGCCCGGCACCCACCCTGGGAGAGGGGAGGCGGGAGGCGCCTCCCAGCTGGCTCAGGTCCCCGTCGATAAACAGGAACCTCTCCTGGCTAACAAAACTCCCACTGTCCTCTGCAACTGCCCAGCCCCCGCGGGCGCTGCAGCCTTCTGGAATCACAGGTGGCAGGCTGCTGCACCAGGCCAGGTGGGGAGGCCAAACAGGATGTACCTGAGGCCCCTCCTGCTCTGAGTGCCACCTCTCGAGGGTGCCCGGCGACCTCCCACCGCCCTCCCCAGAGACCGGCCGGGAGGGAAATGGCGCAGACCGGGAGGGGCGTGGGACCGGCCAGGAGCCAGGGGCCAGGAGCCAGGCCAGAGTCTTAGTTTGCCCCGGGAAAAGCGAGAGGGAAGTGTGTCAGCAAGCGGGCGAGACCCAAGGCCAGGCCCGCTCGGCCGTGCGGCCCGGGCAGGGGCTGTTGCCTGGTGCTCTGTCTTCGCCTCCTGAAAAGAATGGGGCTCCCGGGAAAGGCCCAGACCCCAGCAGCGCAGGCTGGCCTGCTGCAGGGGAGGCTGTCACCTGCCGTCCAGCTGAGGCGCAGGGGGACGTGTGCGCCCTGACTGCAGAGGGCAGCGGCCACAGGCGCCAGCCAGGCCCCACCGCACCTCTCACGACATTTTTCAGCTGAACAACTGAAGGTAGAAGGGGGCAGAAGACAGGTGCGGGGGCCTGCAGCCCAGGGAACAGCATGGGGGGGGTGGAGGCCCGCCCCCCCAGGGCTGTGGCCAGTGACCTCATCTCCAAGCCTCGGTGCCCCTCGTGAGTGGGGAGAATTTGCGCAGTTTGTGCAGGTCTCGGCGCAGGGTCGGGGTGTGGGGTGCAACGGCTGGGGGCCCTGGTGTCAGAGTGTGGGTGGAGACTGGCTGGGGGCAGGTGGCACCGTGGACGCGGTGTGGACAGCGTCTCCAGCCACCGTTCTCTGGAAGCTGACTCCTGGGCACGGCCCAGCCCGGAGCCGCCTCCCTGCCTCCATCGCCGTGTCCCTGCTTGGGAACATACCACCTCTGTGCTGTTCCCTGCTTGGGAACATACCACCGCAGCACCGGCCCGTGCCCCCCACCACCCCGTCTCCCCTCTGCCACACTGACCTCCCGTCCCTGGGCTGCCGAGCTCCTGTGCCCCTGCAGGGTGTTAAAGGCAGTTGTGTGTGTGTGGCGAGGGAGGTTGTGGCTGGACTGCTGACGGGCGATGGGCGATGGGCGGTGTGAGGTGTGGGTAGCTGAGTGGCCAGCGGGGTACGTGGACAGGAAGATGGGCGTGTGACGCACAGACCCACGGCTCTCAGTCTCTGGCTCCTGCAGCCGGAGACTCGACAGGGTCCCTCTGGCTCTGCCTTGTGGTGGCCCCAGATGCAGGCAGACCAGGCTGGCTTTCACTCACACACCCGTCCCCGGTCCCCTGGCCAGGTCGCGGGGCAGACCCGGCCGGCCACAGAGCAGCTACAGCCTCACCCAGGGGCCTGGGGCCTCCAGGCCACTTTGGGAGTTGGAGGAGGGTCCGGGGGGAGATGGGGCCTCTCTGAAAGGGAGTCTCAAAACTAATATGAGGGAAGGTGAGGGTCCTCGCGAGCAGAGCTGGCCTCAGAGAGAAGGGGCTCTGAGGAGACAGCCGAGAGAGCTGGGGTACCTGAGAAGTAGGAGTCCGTTCAGGGCTAAGTTGGAGCAATTTGGTAAAGAAAACAGGGGTTTCCTGCCAGGTATGCTGGGGTGTCTTAAGAGAAAGGCATGTAGCATTTGGGACACAAACTAGGGTGTTTGCAAAGAGAGGTTGGGGTGTGCTTTGTCTTAGGGTGTAAACAGAGGTATCTGAGAGATGTTGGGATTCAGGCGTGGAACCCCACACGCTCCCCAACAGGGAGTCACAGGCCCCCCCCAGGCCCAGGCTCTCCACCCCTGCAGCGCCAGGGAGGCCAACCCCAGGAGACCAGCCCCGGCCTAGCCCGAGAAACCCCCTCGTGTGCAGGCGGGGTCACTCTCCCCACGGCCACTCCGGGTTTAGGTACCAGCAGATGCCGCACCTCCAGACCAGCCCTCAGCTGGACAGCAGCCCTCTCAACCACCCCCACTGGACCAACTGTCTTGGAGGTGCTGGGTGTCCCCTGTATCCCACTTCAATGAGCCCCCACTTCAGTGTCATCACGGGCCTTGGCCCAAAGCACCTCAGTTCTCCCCCAAAAAAGACAACTGTGCACCAATGTTTCAGGAGGAAGAACTGAGCCCGGTGAGGATGGGACCCTGACTGCAGCCCGGGGCCTGGGGCTTCGCTTTCGGGGGAGAAAGGCCCAAGGCCAGCCAGGCCCAGGCCTCCTTGCCGCTCACGGACCTCAGTGCGGGCCCCAGCAGAGACTGATTTTTGATACATTTTCATAAAGGCAAGAAAAGGTTCTGTCTTTGGTATGTACACCCTCACTCCAGGCAAAGGGTGCAGGCAGGCAAGGGTCTTGGGCCCCCTACCAGGGCCCTACTGACCAGCCCAGCCCAGGGCTGGCTGGAGGAAGAAAGATTCCAGAGACCCATGCAGAGGAAGGAGAGACAGCAGTGGCTCGGGCCTGAGCACCTGGCGGGGGTCCAGAGAAGGCCACGACGGGGCGTCTGGGGCGCGGGCAGGAGTGGGGCTGAGAACCATCACCTGGAGGAGAAAGGGGAGAAGCCCTCAAGGGTCAGCCGGACCCCCGCCCGAACTGGGCCCAGCATCAGTGCCCCAGGCCTCAGGTACTCGAGGCGAAGCGGCCAGCCTCAGGCCGGCGGGCCAGCGTCCGGCCCAGACCCGCGTGGCGCTGTGTGGCCCAGACGAACGCCTTATCCGCCCCGCTGCCGCGTCTTCCGCGGACCGAGCGCTAATTATAGTGCTGCGTGGCACCTGTGGGTGTCGGCGATGACACGCACAGCCGTTACTACTGCCAAGGCTTTCTCTCTCGGTTCGCGAGCCGCTTTGGGGGTGAGGGGAGGCAGGCGGCTCCCGGCCACCGCCACGTGAGACACAGCCCTCGATCCCACAGCCCCGCTGTCCCAGGCTGCCCACGCCTAGGCCTGCTTGTCCGCCTGCAGCCCAGGCCTGGCCCCACGAGCAGGTCTCCTGGGGGAGGGGCAGGCGGGGGTCGCCACGGAGCTCCAAAAGCTGCTTTGGCTCAGCCCTTTGGGGTCCACACGCCTGTGCCCTGGCCGCCCCCTCCCCAAGCCAAGTCAGCTCTTGCCTCTCCCTTCGCCCGACGGATGCCCACGTCCCCTACCTCTCTGGTCCACCGACCCTTCCCTGCCTGGCCGCCCCCACCCCAGAGCCACCAGAGGCCCTAAGTCCACAGCCCCGCCCCCTCCCACCGCACCCGGCCCACCCACATGCCTCACACTCCCACCTCCCAGCAGGGATCCAGGAGCGTCACCAGCGGAGCAGCTGCTGGGATGACTCAGCAACTCCGCGCCTGGGCACACGCCCACCCGGGGCCGCCCGCAGCCCTCACAAGGGCCAGAACGTGGACACCCCGGGTCCACCGCGGACGAAGGGGTACGACGCGGCCGGCCGCAGATGCAAGGATGCAAACGTGTGCCCCAACGGAAACATCACGCGGCACGAAGGGGGGCAGCTGTGACCCTCAAGGCCACGGGGAGGGACCCTGAACACCTGACACTCGGGGAGAGAAGCCAGGCATGAGGCCACGCGGCGGAGTCCACGGGCGAGGAACGGTCCGGACGGGCACAGCCCCAGGGCGGCTGATGCTCGGGGCGGGTGGGGGCTGGGGGGAGCTGAGGCATCCGGGCGTTAGACGGGGGCTCGCCGCTGCGTGCCGCGCTGGTGCTTCCAAGGGCGACTTCTGTGGCCTGGGAACTGGAGCGGCACTTGTCTGGCGGCGGCCCGCGCCGCCTACACACCTTGCTCAGGGCTCCCGCTTGACCACGCCGCGCAGGTGCAGCTCGCTCTCGGCGGCCACGATGGGCTGCCCGTTCTGCAGGTGGTAGTCGATCAGGTGGCTGATACTCTCGAACAGCACGTCCTTCGTGCGCACCTGTGGGAGAGCCAGCGTCAGCCCCCGCGGGCGGCCGGCCACGGCGAAGTCCGTGCCGCGCCTGGGGGGCAGGGCACCCGCCCAGCCCGAGCCCAGCCCGAGCCCGCGGGGCCGGAGAGCCGCAGGCTGACCACGGCGGCAGCCTCAGACGCCACAACTGCGTGTGGACACGCCAGGATTCTGGAGACGCGTCCTGCCGGCGGCGGGACGGCCGGCGCGTGTCCCTGGGCCCGGCCGGCGCCTGCTGGGGAAAGGCGTCTTTGCAGAGGCAGGGAAGGGGCTGACGCGAGCTGCTCCTGGACTATCTAGGAGGCGCTACCCCCCGTGGCACACACCCTCACAAGAGGAGGAAAACCCAAAAGCCTGGACGCAGAGACTCGGGGAGGCTCGGTGAGCATCCGCCGGCAGGTCAGGAGCAGCCGAGTGTTGGGGGACCGCAGAACTGGGAGGCAGGCGCAGAACAGATCGTCCACCAGAGGACCCAGCCCCGCAGGCACCTTGATTTCAGACGCCTGACCTCCGGCCTCGAGAAAAGTACTCTGCGGCTTTAAGCGGCCCAGGTTGTGGTTAGGGAGAGCGGCCCCAGGGGACACACCTGAGGGCTGGGAGACACACCCCGAAACCAGAATCACCAAATCCGAAAGTCACCTGAGGCCTAGCATGAGGTCTTAGCGCCCCCAGGCACTAGCAGCTGGGCGCAGTGCGGCAGGTGCCCCCACCCAGCTCCAGCAGGTCAGGCTGACTGGGGAGCGCGGGGCGCGGGCACAAATCACCTGCGCGCAGGGAGCCCGCACTTAAGCCGACTTTGGCAGAATCTCCTTTGCAGAAGCTCTGAAGCTTTTCCAGGCTTAGGGGCTGCTGATCTAACCCTGGGGATCCCTTAACAGACAGGAGGACCGGTCTCAGAGCCAGACCAGCAGTTTGACACAGGGGAGAGAGCGGCACCCCCACTCCAATGCTGTCCCAGAGACAAGGAGCCCCGCGGTCCCAGGATGGTTCTGAGGATAAAAGGGCTCAGTGAATTCTGGGAAGGGTCTAATGGCCCAGCACCTTCTCATTGGGAAATTATATGCAAAACCCAAAGCCCTCGGACGCTGGGAAATGTATAATAAAGCCTAGAACGCCTTGTAAATTGGAAAATGTTTTGTAAACCCTAAAATGTTTCAGAACTGGAGAATACCAAATCGGAAGCGAGGTAAAAAGCACGGCTGTGTTATTGCCATGGAAGATGGGAACAAACCCTCCCAAGCTAAGGATGCAGTGAGGCGACCGATGGTTAAAAAAAATTCCGGTTTCAGAGATGCCAAAAGGAAGGAAAAAACACCTGGATCGGCAGCAACTCAGTAGACCCCAACAATCCTCATAAAGTGAAACATGAGCCCTGAAACACATCAGGCCGAAGCTCGGACGCCTCCGGATTACTGAAAACAGAATGTGCGCAGCAATGCTGCTTGCCACTGGCAGAGGCGGACTTTGGACCCCCGGAAAGGCCCTGAATTGACAGGGCCTTGTGGCTCCCAGAGTGTCTGTAGACCGGGAAGTCCTTTGCAAACTCCAAAGTTCTTAAACTGCAAAATATTTTGATTCTAAAGTACTAGGGGGGGAAATGAACAGATCTGTACACACCCGGCTTTCTGATCTGGAATCACTTGCACACCCCAAGGGCACTGAGAAGGTCCCTGGGTCCTGGCAGAGGGGAGCTGCCCCCTCCACCTCTCCCAGCCT